AAAAAAAAAAAAAAAACCGAAAAAGAAGTAATTTAAAGTTAACTAGACTAGGAAAATTTTTCCTGCCCATAATCAAAAATCAGAAAGGCAATAAAAGAGTAATAAAATAAAAGAATAAAAAAAAAGATGTTCCCCTTATAAAAAATACATGAACGTTCGTTAAGAATTCGAGACGATTCGTTCGTTTCAAACTTGTGACGCATCCTGCCAAGATTGGTTTCGAATAAACAAGTTCTTTCCTCCGGAATGAGTACGAGTTGACGAAACTCAATTTCTTATAGAAAAATCTGACTTAAAATATATCGAGAAAAAAATTCCTTCCTACTTTGCACGTGGCATTCGGATGTATTGTCCTCGAGAAAATCGAAAAGGGAAATTTCAGATAAATTTTTATTTTTCATAAAATATAAGCTCCTAGGCACGTCATGTGCAGTAACGTGGTAATATTGAACGCAGATGCTGTACGGAAACTCGATGAGAAACTGGCGATCGTACATGACGACGATACTAAGCGCACGTAATTATAACACACAAAGAGGGACTTTGCATGGCGCACATCAACATTCGTTATCGCAAGCGATAACGGTGATCGATGAAAATCGCGGTTATCAAGTTCGCATCAAGATCGCACAAGAAATTTATCATCAGGCCAGCGAGAATACATAAATCTAGCCGTGTTGTATTCCGCGATAAATTTTATAATCACACCGTTTTTCACGATCGTATAATTTTTTTTGTCGATAAAACAAATGTGTAGATATTTAACAGTATTAAAAGTCCGCAAAAGTCGCTAAATTATACATTGAAACAAAATTATATATATATGGATATATATATTGGTAATCGCGGATTTAATACTATATTATATAAAAGAATTTACTGTTCATATAAAAAAAGAATTGAAAAAGTGATAACATAAAAAAATACATGTTCCGTATATTTTATTCTAATATTTTTACGCAAGCTAAATAGAAAATGAATTACAGTGGCGGCAGCATTTGTCAAATGCGTAGGCGTCTGTACAGAATTTAATTTCATTATAAATTTCACTACTTCGCTGAAGTATATCGTCTAAATTGCAGCGATTCATTATGGCGCGCTTATGGTGCGCCGTTAAGATTATAAATCGTTATAATTGTTATCTATATCTTGTAGCAACTTCACGTTAACATTATGTTAACGTTTATGTTACGTTTTATGTTTCATTTAAGCAGACAACAGAATGTAAGGCGCACTTTCGATGAGCTATAACTCGCATCAAATAATGTTTTTCAAAATAATGTTTTTGTTATAATATATTATGTACATTATATTATATATTATGTATGTTATACATATGCATATTTAAAAAAACAGAATTAAAATGCAATAAAAATACAATAAGTGCGATTAAAATAAATATTTTTTTTCAATTTATGTAAATTGTTCTAAAAAGCTCTATATTAAATTTAATTCATATTCATGAATTTAATTATTTGTATGTTTTACAAATTATTCATTTCATAAATTTGACAGCAAGAGAAACTTGTTTATCTCTGTTTTGCTTATATAACAGTAAAAAAGTATAATATTAAACAGTAAAGTATTATGTATAAATTATTATTTTAAATTTCATATTTAATAAAACCTCACTTAAAATATTTAAATACGTTTTACACAAATACGTTTTACGTATAAGAGGTTATTCAATCGCGAATTGATTAGTCAGAACATGTTATAATGTCTCTGATAGAATTTAAACTCTTTAATCCAACAGTTGCAATATGAGAGATTATAACAGAATTCCATTGTAAGAGAATTTATGTTTCAGATTGAATATTAATAAAATCGGTACATTTCCTAAAATTAATCTTTTTAATAATTTATGACTGTCTATAGAGCTTTATAACGTCCGTAACTGAAATAAACTTTATAAAAGAAATATATCATTGCCCGAGACAAAGTTTCTAATTATCTCAACTTAATTACATGTCACGTTAATTTTATTTAAATATCCACATCCATCGCACAAATTCTGATGTCACTTCAAAAATTAGGACTATGTAATATTGTGGAAAGAATCTAATTTTTTCATGGAAAGAACAATTTTGTTGAAGTATTTAGAATAATCTGTAAGTTTTTCATAATTTTTTCATTTATAAATGTAAAAATTATAAAAATAAGTGCGATCCTTAAACATCCTTAAACTAATTATACGTTATTAATATTTCAAGAATAAAAGATCGATAAGGTTTTACTCTCTGGGATAGACAAAGAATGCAGGAAATGATATTAATGGAAATTTAGAAGCGAAACGTGTTTCTCGCATTTATTTGCAGGATCTGGCCGTCATTCCGAGGAATCGGCGATGTGTGCCATGTTGCTGCCTAACATGCCCAACTTTCCGCTTTACGAGCTCAGCTGTCTCATATTCTTCCTCGTGCCGATGTTCTCCATAGCGGTGCTTTACGTGAGGATGGGCCTCCGAATACAAAACAATGGCCTCGGGCATAGCGTCGAGGGCTCCGTTCACGGAGAAACGAGGCAGGCTCAATCACGAAAAGCCATCATCCGAATGCTCAGTAAATTTCTGTCTTTTCCGAATCACACATCCGTAACCACACACGTCTAGAATCTGTGTACTCCAATCTACGTCGGATTTATCGCACCGCGCCGACGCCGCACTTTATTTCATTCGCACTTTGCTTTTTATCCCCGTGCTCGCATTATTTCCCATCACGCACGATGGGAGTTTCGCATCACTGCGATGCGATCGGATCATTTCACCCGTATCGTACGATTAAATTGACGAAGGGGAAAGATTAAATGCGACGTGAAACGGGCGTAACATTTAGAAAATATTTCTGCATTGACGTCTTACATGTTAGAGCTATTATTAAAATTTTCATAAATAATTTCTAAAATATATAGAAATTTTTATCTGAAGAAGTACCAATTAAAAATAGTATCTCCATTTGTGAAAAAGTACACCGTAAGTAATTACCGTTCTTTCGTTACATACGTCTCGTTCGAGCTTTTATATTAGAATGCTTCGATATCGTGTTTGCAACGTACGATAAATTGCAAGGAGTCATATTGCGAGCGATGTTTTCGAGAACAGTTATTACGAGCGTGTCAAAATTCCGCGAGGTAACCGCATGATTTTCATTTTCGCACGCGCATTTCATGAGAGTGGACGTTGAAGTTTCTGTAACACAATGACGTAACGTCGGATAATTCCCACCTACGTTACTTGGCAAAGTTAGCCCATTCCCACATCAGCTTCATAATAAGATATATCTGACGAAAGTTTTATCCTTTGTCATAATCCTGATATTTATTTTTTTTTCCTTTATTAAATTTTTTCCTAAATTGAAATTACTTTAAATCAACTTGTCAGCTAGCATAATCTCAAGTTAATATTTGTGAACAAATACGTTAATAAAACGTCACTAGAAACAATGTTTGCATAACGCAGGTTTCTTATTTTTCTTTCATTTATTCTAAAAATATAGCGTTTAAAACATGTTTCTCTTCTATAGTAAATAAATGGAAAAGGACTACTTTGAACAAAAATTCTTTAAAAAGAAATTACCTATCGCAACGTATAATAGAAAAAAGAATTTTTCCAGATATACTCAATTTCTCAATAAACACGTTCAAAAAGAAAGTACAGCTCATGTTGAAAAAATAAATATTACAGAAATATTACAGAATGTTAAAGTATTGAATTCTCGCCCACATGCATATTCGAGAGTGACGCGTGTCTATAAAATATATAAATAAAATCTTTTTGATAAATGTTAACTTGCCCCTGATTATCGTAAGAGATCTTTTATTTGACGAAATTTAGACGGTAATTAAGATTGACTGAGGTGGCTTAATTGCATGTAATCATTTTCCTAGTTTTATTCTTGCTGAAAAAACGTTTTCTTTTCTCGTGTCACCTATTCCCAACGATAGGTATTATTCTTTTGTGTCACGTCGTTGTGCTGTATATTCCCGCGAGGATAAGAGAGAGTCGTTTGCAGCATCGATTAATCATCGAGATGCTTCGGTTTCTCGTTTCCTTGGCCAAGAAAGATAACGCGGCTCAGTTAAAATCTATAAGATTGTATGCAAATTCGACGCAAATTCGCTGATTCACAGCGTAATATCGCTCGTAAGATATGAAGTGTGATGAATAATAAATTATGGCAGTACGCAAAAACTCCTGAAGTTTAGTCGGATGACACAACGAAAATGTGGCATAAATAATTAAAAAGATTTTCACGAATGTCTATTTCATTTGTTCGCTTAATGTTTTTCTCAGTATTACGATTATGTATCATTTTGCATTATTATTAATGCATTATTATTAATTTTCTTATTAACATTTTTTTTTTTAAATTTACATTGTTACTTCTTACTTTGGAATGATAAATATTGAATTTTTTACGGTGCTTCTATAAACATACTTGAAAGAATAGGAACAAAATGCTTTTTCTATCACAAGAATAAATTTCCATAATTCCATATATGATCCGATATGAGAAATCAATAAAGCAACATTTTCGTACCTGCATCCGTTAATGGTTGGCCAGATATTACGAAGTATATGAAATAGAAATCGATGAACTTATACGTGACACGTTTCTCGAAATACTTTTAGATTCGCGGAAAATTCTTTTAACGAATAAATAATTTCAGCAAATCGAAATGTTTACAGTTTTATTTGCGAGAGAAAATTACTCTTATCTTTTCATTGATTTTAAACTTGTTAATATTTTATTTGACATAAATATTATTTAATTAAAATGAATTCAATTTTGGGATTAAATTAAATAAAAATTTTAATTTTACAAGTTAATTAGTTAATTAAAAATTCTCTTAAAAATTACGTTTTCAAAAGTTTGTCTTCGATGAATCAGAGTTACGCGAGATATGCTTTTAAGTTTTCATATCGTTTTCAACAACCCTCTTTGTGGCGTAGCCACGTAGCCATTCTTCCTTATTCTCAGAAGAAGCAAGGGCAATAATATCGACTACGTGAAAGATTCTCGATAATTTCATTCCACAGGTGCGGTCGTGATAACATTTTTTATCTGCTGGGCGCCCTTTCACGCTCAGCGCTTATTGTACGTGTATCAGGTGTCGGCCTTCAGCGACATTAATGACTGGCTTTATCCATTGGGTGGTTGTCTGTACTACTTCAGCACCACCGTGAATCCCATTCTTTACAATGTGATGAGCATCAAGTATAGAATGGCGTTCAAGAAAACGTTGTACTGCGCGCCAACGAGTCCCACCATCACGAGAGACGATCTCAGCAGTATGAAAGATAGTACGGTATGCGGTTGCGGATCCAGAAGGGAGTCCCAGATGGTTCGCGTAAGAAGTGTGCACTACCAACGTAGCATCAGGCAAGCATATTTAATTACTCCTCTATCGATTTTATCGATGTTAAATATTTATTTATTAGAGAGCATAGCCATTCTATATTTATGAGAATACACCACCAGAGAGAGTATATGCCTGAATTATCTAAAATTTCTGAAACTATTCTGAAATAATTTCGACCCCCAATTTCTGAAATCTAAATGTTTTCCACACGGAAAGAACACTTTTGCTGGCAAATCTAAAAATTTGGCTAGATACAGATACTAGATACAGATCTAAAAACGATTTTTTGTTGGACCTTCAAAATTTACTATATACAATGTTCAAATTGATTGTTAGAAGATCAAATATTTTTGCAGTATTATCATCATATTTAAGTGTTTTTATAAAATAATTTTGATGGGCCAACAAAATTATTTTCAGATCTAATCAAATTTTTAGATTTGTCAGCAAAAGTGTTCTTTCCGTGTATAAATAGTAAGGTTTTTAAGCATTCAGATATTTGGATATTCAAACTCAATCCCAATCCAAAATTCTCTCTGCACTATTTGAATTATTCGAACGATCTAAATATCCGAATTATTTGGATCCAGAAATGTGTGTCCCAATTATTCAAATCTGTCTCTGATCCAAATCTGAATTAAAATACAAATTTATATCCTGAAAAGATCGATATATATATTTTTTCAATGATTTCTAAAAACGAAAAATCAAAAATAAAATACAAAATAAAACTCATATATTTGTTTTCCGTTCAACGAGATCTTTTATTTGATACTTCAATCCTTGATATTTTCATCCCTTATTTCTCTAACTGGATCGAGGAAACATCTTGGTCGCACTCTTTGAATCCACTATAAATTTAAATTCGATTCCGAACCTAAATTTGCTGCAAATGTGAATTTATTGTGACTACGGATTTAATTTTTTCGACACTTCAACTATTCCGATATTTTAGAAAAAAAAACTTCAAATGAACTGAATTTGAAATACCTCATTTTTTTGCTATTTGAGTAAGCAGATTCGGATATTAAATCTAATCTTAAAATCCTATTAAATACACTGAAAAAAAAACGTCTGGTTGAAAATTGACAAACCAGAAAATTCTGATTGTATCAATCAGAATTGTGGTTACCTCAACTAAAATTTCAATAGATTTAAGCAGAAATTTAGCAGATTTAAGCAGAAAATTCTGTTTTGTTCATTTTTTACCGGAATTCTAATTCCGGTAGAAAATCCAACCAAACATTTTTCTCAGCGTATAAGTATTAAGTAGGTTTACTTGTTTTGAAGTAATCCTTGTTGTTTCTACATTTAGATTCATTAACGCTTCGGATTTTCAATTAAACTAAACGATCCCGTATTGGTATTAGTTATAATAAAACAACTGCACTTTTGTACTTTCAGATGCAACGTGTCGCACGCGAGCGAGACGCACCGTTCGCCAGTGAGATTACGTTACGACGACGAGGACGATGACGTGAGCCCCTGCGACATGGAGAAGACGTCCCGTGACATCCTCAATCCCGACGTGCAGCCGCAGAATGCGAGAAGATCCTTTGTCGAACATTCGAGCAACGGCAGAACGAAATATCGATTGAGTGAGAAAACGCTAGACAGCACCATACCGATCGTAGCGAACGAGACGTGTATCTGATCCTCGTCTTATACCATCGGGAATAGAAGAAAATGCTGCGGCACGAGGACCGTAAGGACCACTCGCGTCCTCGACAAGAAATTACCGTGTCGCCTTCGCATACACAACGAGACGGACGTGACAGATGCCGTGCATTATTCTATATTGAAAGACAATTTTCGCAGGACGACGCGTCGCGATATTCTCCCGGAAAGACGTGACCGTGGGATTTGCAATCAAGACGGAGAATCTAGTTTTGTGGAAAGTTGTGTTTGAATGACACTTCGGAAAATCGCGACAAAGTGTCCGTGACAAACAGTAAAATAGAACCAAGAAAAGGTTCGGCGATAAATCGATTTATGATAATATTGAACTTTCAGATTTTGCCAAGTTAATAAAATCCCGTATAATTAAATGAATTAATTAACACAAAGGGCGTTGTGTATAAATTTGCGCTAATAAAAGAAATACGTACGAATGGAGACGATAGCTAATGAAATGCATCTGATAAAATAAACAGATCTTAATGTGTGCAGTTCGAAGTGCAGAGGATTGGAAGAAGTGCGATGTGATGGAATACGTGTCAAGAAATACGTGTCTGATTTCGTTAAAATTTAACGACGTTAGTAACATCGGGCACTTTACAATATTCCTAATTTTAATAATTTTTTAATCGATCA